CTAACAAGGTATTGTTTGATCTATGCACCCAGAAAAGACCAAAAGTAGGTAGGCCAAAAATTGATGTCAACCATCAAAATAAAAAATTTACTAATATTATTCTAGTTTCTACACCTGAGCAAATTTGAACCAATCATTGGAAAGGGTTACCAGGTCCCCCTAAAGATCCTTTCAGTCCCTTTGCAAACAGACCTAAACTAGTTTTACCTGGGAAATATATCTGGAAAAGAAATTTACACAGACTGTTAAAGTTTTTGTTGGAAAAAAGATGCGCTGTCACTGTATCAGGAGAACCAAAGTGTCATCACTGATCTTTGATCACTTAAATTGGTATCTGCCATATTTCACCATAGTGGTAGAGTTCATCTTCTTTCATTTGTAATCAATACACATTTTGTAACAAAGTATTTAGCAAACCATCAATATATTATTTATTCTGTTATATTAGTAAGGAGTCATAGATTCCTTTATTTCTCTATGGTAGGTAATTTGTTGCTATCATTACATGTTTTGATGCTAAAAAACTTGTCCTATATTTTGTCGGTGGGAGCTGCTTCAAACAGGCTCCTACGCTCTTTTGACATGTCTCTAACATTGAGAACTTCCTTATTTCTGACACAAGATGTTTTATGTTCATGTTCTGTGTGTGTGTGTTTTTTCTACACCATCCCTGGAATCAACCCATTTTTCTAAGAACCCTTGTTCTTCTTAGTGGGCAATTTTATTTAGAAACTAAACTCTGGGAACCAGATATACTCGTTGCTGATCCCAGGCCCTGAGAATGAAAAGAACTAGAGAATATATATAGGTATAAATATATATAACTACACCACACACACACACACACACACACACACACACACACTACATTTATATCTGTTTATTTCTCTATTTCTCTATTATCTATCTATATATATAAAAGCCTAATATGCAAAGTGTCCCCTTGGGAGTTCGACTGACCTGGAGCTCGATTGCTCACTATGACATGCGCTGACCACCAGAGGGCAGTGCAGAATAAAAGCAGGCCACGGCCGGCAGCCAGCAGCCACTAGGGACCTACCCGTTCACGAATTTCGTGCACTGGGCCTCTAGTTTATACATAAGTCACCAATTGAAATCGAACTCTACAGCTTTCTCCATTCCCATATTTGTAACTCCCTTTCCTGACAATGAACTTCAAATATTTTCTTTGTTCATTAACCCTCCCATAGGTAACTAATCCAGCTGTCCATACACACAGAGGCCCTCCTCTCTCTGCTTAAACTGCTATATCCTACTCTCTGCTGTTGCTGCCACCACCCAGCCCCTACACACACTCATTTCACTTGATATTTGGCATCCCATGCCACAAAACCTATTCTGGGACAACCTACTCACAGGACTGAGGCTCCAACCTCATGCACTGGGCCCTTGTCCCCTCCCACACTCAAATACCTGGCTTCCTCAACCCACCCTAATGGAAGAGAAGGAAAGGGAGGGGAGGGCGAAGAAAAATAGCTTCCTGTTTATTCTAAGGGCAAAAGAAATGTAATTCACCACAAATTACAAAACAATCTTAACTGTCCCTCACATTTTTGGGATACTCTAAATTACTCACCTAAAAATTGAGATTTGTTTTTAAAAAGTAATAATACTAGTGATTATCTATAAAGCTGGAAAATTGGGATCAATATTCCATGTATTCAGCAAATATTTAGCTACAGCCCATACAACTGTTTAAGCTCAGAGGAAAATGAATATTGGGCAGTCAAATTTAAAATATACACGGAAGTCTAGATGATGCAAGCTGAGGAAAACTTGGTCATATTTATTTGATAGTGACATTATGTGGAAGAATTCCAGGAGTAACTTTCAGCTGATACAGTTGGGAAAAGTCAATGTATGAGGAATAAATGTAATATAAACTGCTGATACTTCCAGGCTCTTGCTGTCTAAACTGCCATGCATATGTAGAAGATGATTAATCATTTTTCTGAAAGTCACCTTTTGGTACCTACTCCTATTAGCAATTATTTTTTGAAGTAGCACATTTTACATAGTAGCACTATTTAGAGAAGTAGCTTCATGCGTTGATTCCAATAGTACTCATTCCCATCACATAAAATTGGAGAATTTTACCCCCCCCCAAAAAAAAAGAATTAGTGACTTTTCCTATTCACCTTTTCTTTATTCTCATCAATGGTTTTCAGATTAGGTCTGTTTTTTTTTTCTGGTTTTGCTTTTGTTTCTGTTCTTCTTATTTAACGTATTTATTTAAAGCAGAACCTACTAGTAAATATTCACATAAGAATCTAGCTCTGGGCTTTCTGCCTCTTAAGGCAGGTCCAGGACTGTCTCTATTCTACACAGCAACAAATAGACAAGGATGAAGGAAAAACTGGTAACAAATGATGTACTAGCACTCAATTCTATTATAGCTTTATGCCTTTATAGAGATTGTATCTCTCTTCATAAAGGTATAGAAGGGTAGAAAATAGTATGTAGTATAGAACAGCAATTTTCAACCTTTTTCATCTCATGGCACACATAAACTAATTACTGAAATTCTGCGGCACACCAAAAATTATATTTTTTGCCGAGCTGACAAAAAATAGGAATAATTTTGATTTATTCACACCAGACAGCTATTGTTGTGTTGACTGTTACCATTTTTTTTATTTGACAATCTAAGGGGGAGAAAAGGTTAGTGCCCCTGACTAAATAGTCAGGTATTGCACGTTGTGTTTTGTTTTTTTTCTTTTTAAATATATTTTATTGATTTTTTTTTACAGAGAGGGATAGAGAGTTAGAAACATCTATGAGAGAGAAACATGGATCAGCTGCCTCCTGCACACCCCCTACTGGGGATGTGCCCTTGACCGGAATTGAACCTGGGACCATTCAGTCTGCAGGCTGATGCTCTATCCACTGAGCCAAACTGGTTAGGGCAGGTATTGCATGTTTTAAAAATTCTTGTGGTACACTGTTTGAAAATGACTGGTATAGAATACATATATAATCTCCAATCCAGTCCCAAAGGTTTTTCTGTCCAAGGAGTTCTAAATGGCAGGTTAGATCAAGTCCCTGCGAATACTAGCGAGAACAACTTTCAGTGGATTCTGGGCACGGTGGTGTCTTGTTCCAGAGAGCTCTTCTATTTCTGCGGGTTTTTCTCTTCATCATCTTCTCTGGCGGAAGAGACTCCTATCTGGACCACAGCCACTGCTGGAGAGCTGAACCAGTAGCAGCCGGTTGGGACCCACTCCCGGGCCCTAAGGTCGCTGCCGCGTGCGCCCCAAGGTGGGGCGGTGTGGGGCGCAAGCCGGAGCGTGCCCAGGGCTGGGGTGTTTCTGATTGGCTTTTTTGCTGCGAATACGGAAGACCAGGCTGCTGGGGCCGACGTGGGAGAAAGGTCCCAGCTTGGCGCAGGACCTCCCGGGCTTCGGAGGCGCTCCGGCCCGCTGCGGCGGGGGTAGGGGAAAAGAAGGGGAGTCCTGGGGGAGAGTACATCCCCTGGAAATGTAAGGGAATGGGGAGGGGGAGGCTGTGGTTTCTGGGTGTTGCCAGAGAAGCCACGCGCCGCCGTATTCCACCTGGGGCTCCTGAAGCAGAGGGGTAGGTAACTGCGGACTCTGTACCTTGAAAGTGTTCCGAATGGCCGGGAACGCAGGTGCCTTTCATTCTCCTTTGGGGACACTGCCCTGGCACCCATTTAGTGAGAGGTCCTACTGTGGGTACGGACGCTGTGAAATATCCCCGCCCCAAACTACTCAGAAGAGAGTTTCCTGCAGAAAACATACTAGTTGGCCGCAGGGTGCTAGGAGAAGGGGGCGGAGAGCATTGAGGCATCTGGAATTTGGTACATTCTATAGCTGTGCCACAGTTTTACTTTGATTAAGAAAAAGATTATGCCCGAACCGGTTTGGCTCAGTGGATAGAGCCTCCGCCTGTGGACAGAAGGGTCCCAGGTTCGATTCCGGTCAAGGGCATGTACCTTGGTTGCGGTCACATCCCCAGTAGGGAGTGTGCAGGAGGCAGCTGATTGATGTTTAACTCTCTATCCTTCTCCCTTCCTCTCTGTAAAAAATCAATAAAATATATTTTTTTAAAAAAAGGAAAGAGAAAGCAATAATTTTTCTAAAAGATTACATAAAGCCAATCTAGACAGAGATGAAACTTAAGAAACGTATTCTGAGACGGTTTCGTTTTTAATTCTAACATTGATTTTAAGTGGTCTTCATCATTTAGCAATTACACATCGACCTACCTATGAAAGATTTACATACACATACGTGTAGTATACGTATGCATGTGTCATACATGTATACACTTATATGAGAGATTTTAAATGCTTGGGCACAAACAGTGGGAGCCGCGATCCCAGCTGCGAGGCAGCAAAGGGCAGGAGCGTTTCTCCGCGCCGCGACAGCCCTTCCCGCGACTGGCACGTCCAGCCTCGCCCGGAGCCGTCGGCTGGTCCCCCCGGAGTCGGCTGGGGCTGCCACCCGGAGTCCGCTCCGCGTCGGCTCCTGCACCCCGGCCGCTGGCCCGGTGACACTACATCGGAGTCGGATTACAACCCGCAATTAACATATGAATTCAACGAACCTGAAGACAGGAGGCGGGGGGAAGGGGAGGGGGGGCAAACCCAGAACTGGCGCCCGGGTCCTTCGGGCGCAGGAACTTTTCTCCGGGTGTAAAAACTCTTTGATTGGCTGCTCGCACGCGCCTGCCCGCGCCCTCCATTGGCTGAGTAGACACGCGACCGGCGCGAGGAGGGGGCTGGGAGAGGAGCGGGGGAGCCACTCTGGCGCGTGCCGCTTTTTAAAGGGGCGCAGCGCCTTCAGCAACCGGAGAAGCTTCGTTGCACGCGACCTGGTGTGTGATCTCAGAGTGGGTGGGGGAGGGTCGAGGAGGAAAAAAAATAAGACATTGCAGTAGAGACCCGGGAAGGGTTTTTTTTTTTTTTTGTGGAGCCGGTTTGCCAGTGCCTTCTTCGCCTCCTTCGCCTCCGAGCCTCTGAGCCTCCGAGCCTCCGAGCCTCTGCAGTGCAATGTCCCGCCTGCTGCACGTAGAAGAGTGGGCTGAAGTGAAGGAGTTAGGGGCCCACCATCGCCATCCCCCGCCGCACCACCTCCCGCAGCCGCCACAGCCACCTGCGACCCTGCAGACGAGAGAGCATCCCGTGTACCCGGCCGAGCTGTCCCTCCTGGACGGCACAGACCCACGCGCCTGGCTGGCTCCCACGTTGCAGGGCATCTGCACGGCACGCGCCGCCCAGTACTTGCTGCATTCCCCCGAGCTGGGTGCCTCCGAGGCGGCGGCGCCCCGGGAGGAGATGGACGGCCGGGGGGAGCTGGGGAGGAGAAGCGGCGGCGGCGGAGGCAGTAGCAAGAGCCCGGGCCCCGTGAAAGTGCGGGAACAGCTGTGCAAGCTGAAAGGCGGGGTGATGGTAGATGAGCTGGGCTGCAGCCGCCAGCGCGCCCCTTCCAGCAAACAGGTGAACGGGGTCCAGAAGCAAAGGCGGCTGGCGGCCAACGCCAGGGAGCGACGCAGGATGCACGGGCTGAACCACGCCTTCGACCAGCTGCGCAACGTTATCCCGTCCTTCAACAACGACAAGAAGCTGTCCAAGTACGAGACCCTGCAGATGGCCCAGATCTACATCAACGCCTTGTCCGAGCTCCTGCAAACGCCCAGCGCCGGGGACCAGCCGCCGCCGCCGCCCGCCTCGTGCAAGAGCGACCACCACCACCTCCGCGCCGCCGCCCCCTATGAAGGCGGTGCGGGCACCGCGACCGCCGCGGGGGCACCGCCGGCCTCCGGAGCGGGCCAGCGGCCGACCCCGCCCGGCAGTTGCCGGACTCGCTTCTCCGCCCCGGCCTCGGCGGGAGGGTACTCCGTGCCGCTGGACGCCTTGCACTTCTCGACTTTCGAGGACAGCGCCTTGACGGCGATGATGGCGCAGAAGAACCTGTCGCCGTCGCTGCCCGGGGGCATCCTGCAGCCAGGGCCGGAGGAGAGTAGCAAAACTTCGCCCCGGTCCCACAGAAGCGACGGGGAGTTTTCTCCCCATTCCCATTACAGTGACTCGGACGAGGCCAGTTAGGAAGGTGACAGAAACCCCGAACACAGACAGAGACAAAATCGCCCCTTCCCCGTGCGCGGACAGCCCCGCGGCTAAAGATCCCCGCACCCTTTTAATGTTTGCGCGGCGACGGTCGTTGTTTAGCAACGACTTGGCTTCAGATGGCAGCTACATTTGATGGTTTGCAAAAGCCTCCGCGACTCCAAACTTCCCATCGTCCCATGTTGTTTGATGAAAACCTGTTAAAGTCGTGTTCTTCCCTCCCACCTTCTGCTTCCCCTATAGATAGGGTATAATTAATTATATATATATACCTAGTTCCCTGCTGCCAATACGCTGCTAAAACATCGCATCTTCTCTATCGCTGGTTTGTGTTTAATTTATTTTATGCCCTGGGCATCCATCCCTGTGTGTTGCGCGCGCTCACGTGTGGGAGAGTTAGTATTCCTCAATTGTTTCCCCAAAATGCGTTATGAAACTCAAAGTTAAGACTTCCAAAGTGAGTGACTTTTGACTGTGGAATTGTTCGAAAACGGGGAACTTGGAAGTGTATGTGTTGTATAAACATACCCAGTATGTATATCCGATCGCGAGAAAGTTGGCGTCTTTTAGGAAACTTGGCGCACGCACTTTATCAGCCGCTACTGCAGCGGCTCCGGGACAAACTCAACTGCCAATTGCAGACCAGTTTTGTTTTTTAAACACGGCCACTTATAATCCTTAAGCTTTTTGCAAATTTTTGTTTAAAAAATTAAAATTAAAAAAAAACATACCCAGTAGTGTCAAAAGCATTTGGTCAATTTTATTTTTGCTTTGTTAATGTTAGAACGTATTTATTATTGAGTGTTTGCTACCATTTCTACTTATCTTGATTCATTTTTTACGTTTTCTACTCGAGACCATTTTATTTTAAAATTAGCAGCCATTGCCATTGTTTTATGTATTTCCTTTTGCAAATGATAAAAATAAACTTGAAAATAACTTTTATTTGTCACTTATTCCATTCTAATGTAAGCATGAAAAACAGTTTCAAAATAACCTTGAAGAATTGAGCTCTCTTCTAATAAGTGCCAATTTGTGTGATCTAAGAGTTTTGAAGAACAATTCTGTTATTAACCTCATATCTTCAAGTAAGACCAGAAACCCTAGGGGCGAAAAGCGCTGGTCAATAATTAAATTGTGAGGTAACACTTCTCCCGACTTTGTAAGTGTTGCTCTTGAGTAGTCAGGATCTTTCCAGTCTTCCTCACTCCTAGCCTCAACGACCTCTGCGAGGTTGTGTGCAGGTCTCCTAGAATTTCGCCAGGAGTAGTGAACTTTACTAGGGTTTCCTATTGCCACTTCATAAAAACTAGCCAAGCTGAGAGCTTTTCTTGTTAAGGTCAAATTCACAGCACAAGCCCATTCTTTCTCTCCCTCCCCTTCTCTCTCTCCCTCTCTCTCCTCTCTTCCTTCCTCCTTCCCTCTTTCTGGGGAGGAGGAGGTTTGAAGGCAAAGAGAAAAAGAGAACAATGGAAAAGAACCTGAGGAAAGGGGTTGAGGTTAATCGATTCAAAAATCAGAACCTGCAGTTATCCTAGGAAATTGTTGACCTCCACTCATGTTTTTCCTTACAAGCAATTCTGCTTCTTCCAATGTCATCGTGATGTTTGCGTTTATTTGTCCTTCTGCATTAGTAACTATGTAGAAAACATTTAACTACATTTTTAGTCAGTTGCAGAAACTAAAAGGTGCACTCTCTCACCTCAGGGTTCTCACTAAGTAATAGCCTATTCTGGGTGTCAGGATCATTCACTCTGAAAAAGCTAATACGGGGTGTGTGTGTGTGTGTGTGTGTGTGTGTGTGTGTGTGTGTGTAGAAAGTAGAACTCGAAATACATTTTTGGCAAACTTGAAAGTAGAACGATTTATTAAACTGAAGATGGGCGATGTTCCACCGGATGAACATCACTGAATTAGGGAGGTTGATTTTAAAACGAATCTTTTATATTTTGTTTCTTCATTGGGGGTGGATAACAATTTGCAAGAGCAAGGAAGCAGGACAGAAAGCGAGAGATGGTTGTTTTAATCGCTCCTGCATCCCCTTCTCCGCCGCATCTTGAAGTGAGGAGAGCATCATAAACTGGGTGTAGAGAAAGTAATGCGTGAGGAAGGGAAGTTCTGGTCAAGGGTAGAGAACTGCGGAATAAGCTCCTCACTGACCACCTGGGTATCCATGGGCTTTCAGCTGATGCGTATGATCCAGGGAAGCCAAGGGAAGCCAAGGAAAGCCTGTGCCAGCTCTCTGGGAGAGAGGTGAGCAGCGGCTCCAGGCACTTTCCAGGGGCAGAAACCATGCACCTGTCCCTTAGATAACCTTTTGCCCCCATTGAGTTTGCTGTGCTCACGATAACCATCAGGAATCTTCTGGCTGCTGAATAAATCAAGCGATTGCTTCTAACACATTTCCATTTCACTCTCAAAAAGCAGACTCAACAGGCATGGACATAAGCAACCGTGCAGGATGAACGCAAACATATTTTTATAGTTATTTGGCTTGGTGTGTCTGCATACATGTGGAGGGAGGGAGGAGAGAGAGAGAGAGAGAGAGAGAGAGAGAGAGAGAGAGAGAGAGAGGAGAATGCTTTTACCTGCTATGAATCTGAGTAGGGGAAGGACAGGACTAAGAAAAATAAAGTTGTGATTTTTTTCCTCAAAGAAAACTGTACTTCATTTTCAAGTATCTTTGTGTTCATTTTGTGTTAACCAGAGGAAAAAGACTCTTCCAAAATTATTTCTTTTCACGTGCATATAGAAATTTTAAAACAGAAATGACATCAGAAATGCCTTTGCAATCTTTTATAAATGCCCTGCCCTTGACTGACTGTGGCCAAATTACACGGACGTCGTGTCAATATCCAGAACTGCATCTTAGTACTCCCATCCATGAGGACAATAAACCCACAAAATTTTCTCTGAGAAATTCTGTGGCTAGGAGCTACATCTATGCAAATGTTCAGAGGGTTGTGTGTTTTTTCTTTTGGTACCACAATAACAGCCAGATATTTAACTTTTAAGTGTTAGTGGCATTATATACAAATTGAAGATAATGCCGACTTCACTTAAGGAAGTCACTTGACATTTCCTCTCATGAGAAAAAAAATGATTATCAGATTGGAAATTCTGTATCACACTGATTGAAAGTGTGGATGAATTCTTCAAACCCATCACAGACAGGCACAAAAAGCCAAATCCCTTTGTGGCAAATGAAGTGTTCAAAGTTCAAATGAGGACTTTAACCTCTTTTCTTTACTTCATTCTATTTCTTTCTTCTTATGCTGGCATTTCTTTGAGAGAGATGTACAATCACATTTCCATTTTAAGGTTCTGCTGTGGAGTTTGCATAACAAACGTTTGGCAGCTTGCTCTCTTACACTCCATTAACAAGCTGTAACATATAGCTGCAGGTTGCTATAATCTCATTAATATTTTGGAAACTTGAATATTGAGTATTTCTGAGCACTCATTCCCCATATGCCAGACCACTCCTGCCATGCTGACTGGTTCCTTTCTCTCCATTATTAGCAATTAGCTTCTACCTTCCAAAGTCAGATCCAAGTATCCAAGATACTAGCAAAGGAATCAACTATGTGTGCAAGTTAAGCATGCTTAATATCACCCAAACAAACAAAGAGGCAGCGTTTCTTAAAGTAATGAAGATAGATAAGTCGGGTTAGTCTTCTGCGACACTGCTGGGACTTTCTAGAGTTTTATATACTTTCGGCAGCGTTGCTTTATATTCTGTCTTTGCCTTCTACCCCCCCGCCCCCCCCCCAAACACCACTTTTATTTGTGGAGGGTTTTGGCTCACCACACTTTAGGAAACTTATTTGATTTCACAGAAAGCGGAGGAAGATTATTTTTGGTAACTGACCATTTTAAGCATGTTCTGTTTGGAACATTGCTAACTGGGAGGTCTTGACCAGAAAAAGAGGAGGCATTAATGTTCTTCATGCAGGACCACTGCCTTTATTAGGCCCGTCTATTGACTTTTCGAGATCTAAACCTGAACCAAGTAAGCGATCTTTTATCAAAGGATATCTTGTCATTATTTCTCTTCGTTGTTCATTTGGAAGTTCAAGAAACATGATCAACTTCGTCTTGGATGTTCCAAGTTAGAATTGGAAACGACAGTGCAGACCCACTTGTCTGTGGCAACCTAGACGTGTCCATTGCAATCTGGAGAGACAAGCAAGTGTGCGCTGGTGAGAGTTTAAAGATGACCTCTAGGAGTTGAATTGGTGAGTGGGGGTGGGGGCTGGATACACAGCCACCCTGTAAGTTTCCCTCTTGTTTCTGACTACTTTCGCCAGCCACCCTCATCCTAAACTGACCAGCGTCCCAGAGGCCGACTCCTGAGGTCCCTGCCCTTCCGCTAGGCCCCGAACAAGCAAAGGCTGAGAAGCGGAGAATGGGTTAAATTCTGGGACCCAGCGGAGGAGAGAAGTCGGGGGAAGATAAAGAAAAGGACAGGAACCAAGAAGCGTGGGGGTGGCTCGCCGTAATGTGAGTGTTGCTTAATTAGAGAGCGGCTGACAATAGAGGGGCTGGCGAGGCTCCTGGCCGCGGTGCGGGGCGTCTGGAGCGGAGCACGCGCTGTCAGCTGGTGAGCGCACTCTCCTTTCAGGCCGCTCCCCGGGGAGCTGCGCGGCCACATTTAACACCATCACCACCCCTCCCGGCCTCCTCCACCGCGGCCTCCTCCCCGTCCGCAGCCCTCCTCGGCCCCCCCACGGGCAGAACTCACAGAAGCGAGCCCCTCCGGCCGCCTCCCGCGCCGGCCCGGGCCCCGCTCCTCCCCCAGCTTCGCAGCGGGGGCCGCCACTGCCCACTGCACCGCCCGGCAACGGGCCGGGCCCGGAAAGAACTGCGCAAAGTTAAAGCCAAGCAATGCCCAGGGGAGGGGACGCTGGAGGCGGCGGCGGGAGAGCTGCGGGTCGTGCAGGAAAAGCGAGGCTGGGGGCTGGGGCACCTGAAGCGTGACCCGAGCCGCAGCCCGGGAAGCCAGCGCATCCTCCCGCGCAAGGGGCCTTGAACGCTGCCCGCGACCCGCGCGACTGCCCGGCCGCCGGCGGAGAGCTGGTCGTGGAAGATCCGTTCACCTTTTCTCGCCAAAGTTTCAGT